TKTAMWTTCCAGYAGTCCGACAATCTCAGTCCTCATTCTCGGAAGGCACTTCGATGATACCCGAGGGTTCTGCCTCATCCTCAGAATCCAGTTCACCATTAGCCGCGTCAGCCATCTCCTGAGTAATGCGCGAAGTAGTTATGGYGMTGATGTCGAGCTCGGGGTAYGTATTCCTGATCATCCAYSGGCTCAGTTTAAAACCCCTTYTGTACGAGCCCACCATCAGGTCGTCAAAGMGCGGCRAKGCGATATAGTCTTCAACGGCCTTCTTCTTGGCATCCTCRAWGCCYTRAGAAAAGATCTYTGTCCTYTCCCTAATATCCTCYTGAAGGTATTCGACCTRATGCTGCAAGTCCAGCCTCAGGTCCGCCATGTGCTTCCCCACCACTCCCATGGCCTCGATGTCTCTCTGAGACCTCGCCAGCCTGGCCTGTGCAGCGCGGGAAGCTTCTTCGGCAGCTCGTGCCCGCCTCGAGCTCCTTTCCGCTTGGGCAGCTAAGGCATGGATGGAGGAGTTCACCTACCAAAAGGAAAAATAATGAGAATGAGCAATAGCAAGAAAGGTAATGACAAGGAGCCCGACAAGAAGTTGCTGACTTACCACCATGGCATAAGAGGCAGGACGCTCGGCTACATGGTTCAAAGGAAGCTCGGTCCAAGCCACGACCTCCTCGGGGTAAACGGCCTCCCTACTTTTTTGAAGAGCGTGGTTCGGCGACAGCACGCTCCTAAACTCGCCTTGGCCTCCCGAGCCTAAAGGCCCAGCTCGCGTATAAGCAGCCTCAGTGTAAGGAGGAGCCCCCGTATAAGCAACCTCAGTGTAAGGAGGAGCCCCCGTATAAGCAGCCTCGGCATAAGGGGCCCCTGCCGCTTCTTGTACTGGAGGGGCCATCTCGGGCTCCCTGGGCGGGTCCACTGGCAGGTAGCCCGGTACCTCGGGCTCCACATCTCGGGGCAGTTCGGCACGAGTCCGTTTGGCAACTCGCTTCCTCCTCTTCATGGCATGAAACAGGTTCCCACCGCGAGTCTTTTTTGCGTCCATCACACCTACAAAAAGAGCTCGGCATCAGGAAAACGAAAGAACGGAAAGCAAAACAAAATGGCAAGCCTCTGAGCAAGGAACCTACCCGAACTCAGGCCGGCCTGGATGAGCTTGGCCTCCATCAGATAATGGTGGCATTTAGCCCAAGCCGGGCCCATTCTTGGAGGCCCTTCGCCGTCTCCCTATCTAGCGTAACACCATGATCGGGGGCAGCCATCCCCCACCCGGTTTGGAACGGCCACCCCACTGCACTTCGCACCCCAAAATAGTCTCGTTTCCACGCCGGGACCTTGTTGGGAAGATCATGTAAAAGCTTGAACCCCTGGCGAGGAGACAAGTAGTACGCCCGCCTATGCTCGGGAAGGGGACCCGCTTGCTTCTTAAGCATTAGAATGGAAGAAAAGATCTCCAGGTCTAAAGGCAAATTGTGTTCACAAAAGAGGGAGATAGTCCCAACCAAATTACAAATAGAATTCGGGTGAAGCTAACCGACGGTAACGCCGAAGTGGTTCATAACCTCGACGATGAGGGGGTGGAAAGGTAGGCGCAACCCAGCGACGAGCTGCTCCTGGAATATCACGATCTCGTCAGGACCGTGTTCCCAAGGGAAATCACCCGAGGGTATAAAGTAAGTATACTCCCTAGGTAGGTTGAACTAGGTGATAAGGGAGTAAAGCCCCTCAAGCGTCATGGTTGAGGGCCCAAACTTGTCTAACGTCCAACCTCGACAGGAGGAGGACGCCAAACTACCCGAGGCGACTCGGCCTACGGGTTCAAACTCTTCCTCGAGCTCCTCCTCGAGCTCTACCTCGGGCTCACTAAGGTTGTCGGGGGATGCAGCTCGGTTCGTAGAACCTGCATCTGACCCCCTCGAAGAACTGTCTAAGCTGTCCGTGTTAGACATCGGGAGGAAAAGAATACCAGGAAGAAAGTACCGACTCACCCGGGAAAAGTAAACAGACTACGGAAGGAAGATTTCCCTTCACTCTCCACCATCTTTTCATTTAGTGATGAAGGAAGATTTGGCCCGACCTCTTGACCACCCAACACGTGGAAACAACCAAGGGTAGCCTGGCAGAAGCAGCAGCTCGGCACGGCAGTACGCTCAAGGCGCGAGCTCCGAGAGGAGGAACTAGCGGTCCGAGCTCCCCGAAAGGAGCCCGAACTCTCCCTTTGGCCCCGAGCCTTACGAGGAGCGCAAAGGGCAACAACCCGAACTGGCCCACCCCAGGGCAGTTCGGGCCACACCTCTATTCGAAATCAAGACTTCACTTCGCACACCACTCCTGCACTTCGTCTCCAGGCCACCGAACTGAACAACCATACCTGACACCAAAGGAGTCCGTATCCTGAGGCGACGCACCTGACTGACTTAGGATCTGATGCTTGACAACCTTACTTCAACGGCCACCTGCCATCGCCACCTCCAATCACAGAGACAACTCCGACAAAGAGAGCAGTGGCGGTTGTCTGCCCCAACAAAGGTGATGACACCCGAACTGGCAGAAGTGCAGAGGTAATGATACCCGACCTGATAGGAGCTTGGGAGTGAGTGCACGAAGTGGTTATAAAAGGCTCTCTTCCCCCCAAGAACGAGATACGTGATAACTTTGCACCATATGGTTTTTCATCTTGCCTTTGAGGAAATACTAACTTGAGCTTCGAAGCACTCTTACCGGGTTCCTCCCCAGAGATTACTCGCTTTTTTCCCCGTTTCAGGCACCTTTTGCTCTAGCTAGAGGCAAGATCGTTGACAGCTAAGACCGACCGGATTGCACTCCATCATTTAGGATCACACCAAAACAGAGAAGAGAGTAGAACTCTATTTTGTGATAGTAATTTTCCTATTATTTTCCCATATAAAACCAAATAATGAAAAATTAAATTTTTATATTTTTCCATCCCATCTCATCTTTTCTCATCCCACCCAAATTTCCCCACAAATCAAACGGAGCCTTACACTCTTGCATTAAGAATACGTACTTATGTAATTTATTTCATGGAGAGATATTCCTAATCCAATATTGTCAAAAGGCAATTAGAACGGTGTGGGCATGGACTTACCGTGGTGGAAGCCGATCTCTGTATTTTGTCACTTGTGCACGGAGGCATTATCATTGCTTACACAACTAAAGCTTTCAGTTAATTCGGGCCGGGCCTGGTGTATTCCTCGGGTCAATTCGCCCAGTCCGTTCTAATATCGCCAAGGAGAATCTATACTCCTTATCCACCACACAACACGAGCAACAGAGCAGTAAACAATCTTACAGCCACATGCCACCCTCTATTGGGAATATCTACCCATGAATTATAAATATAAGTATGAGAGATGTTCTCTGTGTGCGGGCAGGACATGGTGTAAGTACGGTGTGAGATGCGCTCAGTTCGGAGCATATACGAACTCAAACAGCACCAACCTTGAAGACTAAACTGCCCCTAATAGTTCCACTATTTACAACACCGGCCTAGTGCACCAGACCAGACTGCTCCTACTGGTTCCATTATTTATAACAGTACACGGCAGCTGAACCCACTTCCTGACCTCTAGGCACAGCCGCACAGAGTGGTATTTTGGTGCTTATATCAAAGGACAGGGGTATTTTTGTTTCTCGGTTGAATGCCTCAAAGCCTTGTAACGGGATTGTATCATCGTAGTTCGAGACTGGATAGATAGGGGAGGAAGAACAAAGCTATCCTCATGGCGTCCACTGCGTTTCTACAATCTTCATCTTCTTCGTTTCATGGCCAATTTCCAGTCGTTTCTGTCTCTAATGCTACTAGAATTCTGTCGGGAAGATCTACAAATGGATGTCGGTTGACAGTGAAAGCTAGTACAGGTATCGTTTTGGTTGATAAATCTGAAGCAGAGACGGCTCATCGTCTGAAGACGAATTATTTGGAGAAAATCGCTCCTTTGCTGAAGGACGAGTTCTCTTACAAAAACATCCACGAGGTGTTGTCCCTTTTGTTCTAATTCTAGGGCTAGACAACTCCAATTTCAGTTTATTTTGCATATTTTCTCTCCATTTCGGGTTTCAACGTGCACGGCAAGGAACCATTTGGACTTGCCATTTTAGGGTTATCTATTCTTAATTATCCCCTTGGATTTCACCTTTTAATCTTGAAATGTTGAATTTTGGTAGATTCCCAAGATTGAGAAGGTTGTGGTGAATTGCGGTATTGGAGATGCTGCACAAAATTCGAAGGGTTTGGAAGCAGCATTGAAGGATTTGGCGGTCATTACCGGTCAGAGACCTGTAAAGACACGAGCAAGGAATTCTATTGCGACCTTCAAACTCAGGGAAGGCCAACCAATTGGTATTGCCGTCACACTGAGAGGAAATGTGAGTTTGTTTAATTAACTTCAGTTTCTCTAAGCTTGCTTTTACATTCAATTTTGCACTTCCTACAGCTTGGAGTTCAATATTTTCTAATGCTAGAACCTGAAATTAGAAGATTCATAATTTCATTGCATTCTTTGCTATTAGGTTGTGTTTGTGTGAAGGAAAAAGTAGGGAAAGGTAGGGAAATAGCCTTAATGATTGAACTGAGAATCAAAAGATACACAGATGTTGGACAGCGATAACGCTTGAACTTGAAATGATTGACATTCACAACGCCAGATACAAAATGTTGGATACTGGTAGTGTTGGAACTTACATTTCAAAGATTCATATTGCCATTTCTTATTATGCGCCTTCTTTTGTTATGTACTTATGTTAATGCATTGGATTGATCCCTATGTCAGTGAACTGTCAAGTTAGTTATTATTCTCCACTGTTTTGTCTTGTTCTTGTAAATCTGGAGATCTGAGTACAGGGGGCAGTTACCCGGGATTCGGCCCTGCATTCATCGTCTTACTTAATGGAGCTTGTTGGGTGAAAATAGGAACTATTACAAACAACCATGTTCCTTTTAAAGGGTAGTCAATGGATGGGAGTGGGATGATTACAAATTTATTATTGGGTTTTTGTTAATTTTCATTGTGACTGAAAATTACACCATTGAAATCCCTTGAATGATGGGTCTGAACCTGCTCGAGGGCATTCATTTCCTCATCTTTGCATTCATGATATATGTTTTCCATGCACAAAACATAGATCAATCAGATCTCTAGCAGTCTGCTCATATTTACTTGAACATGACAGATCATGTATTCGTTTCTGGATCGGCTTATAAACTTGGGGCTTCCTAGGACAAGGGATTTTCAAGGAGTAAATCCCAACAGCTTTGATGGGCATGGAAATTATAGCATTGGGATTCGTGATCAGAGTGTGTTCCCGGAAATCAGGTTTGATGGCCTTGGTAAGCCAAAGGGAATGGATGTCTGCATAACCACCACAGCTAAAACAGACAAGGAAGCTCAGAGGCTACTCTCTCTGATGGGAATGCCATTTAGAGAGGGAGGAGGTCCGACGACGGTGATGCGCAAGAAGAAGTTGAAGGCACATCACTTTGACTCGAAATCTAAGGGACGAAGATAGTTGATGATCTCTGGGTAGATACGTTTGCCTTGTACTTTTTCTTCTGTCATTGCCGATCCCTTCACTGTTTTTATTTTTTTTTATTTTTAATTTTTATGGTGTTAGTTTTGCCAACAACAACGAGATTGAACGGAAATGATTCTAGGTAAATTGTGATAAGCTCTGAAATTTGATGTGTTTTTCATATTTTGATATTTTCTTTTCTTGTTGCTACAACACTGCTTTTCATTTTATTGGCTAAAGAGTAGTCGCTTGAAGGAATAAATCTTGCAGATTCTAAGATCATGTGTAAGACGATATGCATCGATGTCGTAATCCAATCTTTGAATTATTACAGCATGATCTCAACGCGGTCGACCACTGAATATAATAGTGACATCGTTGTTATTGTAAAACCATCCGAATTTTGCTCCGTGGACTGTGGATGTCTTACTTTAACCTCCCTGCCAATTGACGATAGATGTTTTCGTCTTGTCGAATCATCCACGTTAGAACGAATCCTGCTCATTACGACCGGAAGTGTGTTAAAGGTAGAAAAAAAGGAAGAAAAGGGTAAGGAAATCTATTCAAATCTTGTAATTTCCAGTTTTCTGGTGATGAATGAATTTGCCCAAAGGCATTTTCTTAAAAAGAAAAAAAAAAACCCGACTTACAATAAGGGTTATGTCGTCATTGTCTTTGCCTAGATTTTCTGCTATTGATGAATGAATGGGTGTATTTGTGATGGAATTTACTTTAAACTCGTGAGGTTTCGTTGTTTGTTTGGGGTTAAGATCCTTAGGCTCAATTTGGAAGGAGTATAAATACAAATATGTAGAGTTCAAAACCTTTGTATGTATTTGCTTTGTATATATTTGTATTTATACTCCTTCAAAACTGAGTATGTACAATGTAAAACCTTGTATTTTATATTATTTGGTATGTATTTATACTGTACATATTTGTATTTACTCTTTCCAAACCGAGCCTTATGGATCATACAAATTTTTTTTTTGTACGATCCATTGATGCCAAACATCACCTTAATTACTCAAAAGGTAAGGTTTCTCACCTTTTGATAACACTAAGAAAAGTCCACAATTCCACTTGCGCTTACAAATGCACACGAGAGAGAGAGAGATGGTGGTAGTAAATGTGACGCAATCTGGCTGCTCCTAGCTGGAGATGAAATGGCTTCTAGTAGACGACGGGGCTAGTTGATCTGCACAGAGAACATCAAAGAACCCAGGGGCGTTTACCCGATGAGGTCGCTCCGATGTTTAAGTCAGTAACTTGCAAGCTGAGAGTAATTTAGGAAATAAGAAGGCTAGTGAGCAGTAATTGCACGTACCTTGGGCCCCTGGAGGGAGGCCTTTATATAATGGAGTCCTCGCGGGCCTCGCAGAGTAGTTCCGAGATCATTGCCATGATAGAATCTGTTTTCGCGTTAACTGGAGATAACATTATCAGTTGATAAGGTTAATCACTTCCGCTCGAATCGAACGGGGAGATAATTCTTAGTTGTTACGAGGTGTGATCCCGCAAAAATCAGGAACCATTGGAGTGACTTCCAGGGTTATATTGAGGGCAGATCGGTATACCAGAGTTGGTTTCTACCTCAAACTGATGTTCTCGAGCTAAGGCTCGTACACCTCGAACTGAATTATGTACTGGTGTCACAACTTAGTACCGAGGTGCCCTTAGCTCGGGATGATTTCAGCTCGAAGAACCCTTAGTTCGGGGTAGTGGAGTATCACTTTGTAGCGAGCTAGGTATGCCGAGTTGTCACCTAGGTCGAGTCATGTCCACATGTCCCCCTTATTATGAGGTCAGGCCAAATCACCCTCCATCAGTAGTAGTTTAATCCAACATATGAATAAAATTACATTGAAGTGGTTTTTCAAACGCATATTTGGAATACTAAGATGGATAATAGGAAGATAATATACTCGATGATTGTTTATTCAAAATTGTTATTCTACACAAAATTTCCATGAGGTTTCACTCCAACAACAGTGATGATTCTCAAGTTGGAAAATATTGCGGATGACAAGGAAAAGTTAGAAACTTGTTTTATCAAAATCTGACTACTGTGCCCTAGGCTGCTGTTTCTACTTGCATGGAGCTTCGAGCAATTTCTAGAGCCTCTTCAACAGAAGATGCACTCTGAAGCTTTTGTTTATCAACCAGTGGCCGGTTCCTTGCAAGTTTAGGAAGGAGTTCAAATTCCTGAAATAATATTCAGAGCAACGTCAATTTTCCAGTTTGGTAAGCAATATGCACAATCTGAAATCCCATCATGTATAAGTATATCTCTTATTGCATGTTCGATGGTCAAAACTGTTTAAAGGTAATGGAAGTTTTTAACATTACTCATAATTCATGTCTACGATATCCTAAGATTATACGGTGTACTAAGCGTGAAATACACAATGTTGTTCCTATTCTTAAGTAGACATGTCACACGTGATCTTAGAAGTGGTTCAATGAATAAGGCTGAACAATCAAGGAATCTTCCATGTGGCAAACTGGTTTGAATCACAAAAAGGCTAGACAGGTTCTATCGATATGGCAAATTTAGCTCCCAAACCCTTGCCATGTGGTCTGGATAAATTCTGTTTTTTTTTTAAGCAAGTTTAATAATAAAATATTGAAACTTTCAATGGTCGATATTACTTGTCAAACACACGGGAAGAATATGAGAAACATGGCTGATGTGGATGGGAGGGTTGAACAGGTGGTCAAACCAGAGGATCCCTTAGTGGATGGTTCTGATTGGCCACATAATCCCTCCAAGTGGCAGAAATAATGACAGGTTGTCTGGAAAGTCACTACTTGAGCCAACTACTGAACCTTTTTTCTTTTTCCTTCAATCTTTTGTATATTTTTCATTAAGTTGTGGCTGATTACTCATCGGTTCTTATTAATTTTGGAGACAAGTGCTGCTTAGAATCCTATTTGAGACAAGTTCAACTGAAGACATGCAACTTCAACCACTGGGGTACTCATTCTTAATTATTGCAGTCAATGTTCCTAGTCCAAGCAAGCAACCCTAATGCAAGAATGAGCTGAAACTTGATTAAGAGTAAAAAGCAATACCTCAGGGCTTCCACTTTCTAGGAGAACTCCTTTCAATTTACCTGTCACAACAGAAAAGAATAACAATTTTCTTACAAATGAATAAAGATTTGAGTAAAAAGGAAGAATCAGAAAAAATATATATATATATTTACCAGAATCTAGCCAAAAAGTAGCAATTTTAGGATTGAAGTTTCCAATTTCAATTGTCTCACCAACTGCTCAGTTAGGACCAAAAAGAAGAAACAGAGGGAAAAAAAAGAAAAGAATAATGAGTACTAAATACAAGTGAATGGAAGCACAAACCAGATAATATGATTGGTTTGTAGGGTATGTAACTGCAGTGCATATTTACAAATTATTACCATTATCTCCATAGAACTGCCACCACACTTTCCTTCTGCTCCCTTCATACTCAAAAACTCTAGAGTAGAAGTATGGGAGATAGTCATATCTGGATGCAAGGTACATCATTAATTTGGGAAATGGTTAGGTAAAATCTTCAAGTGCAGCACATACAAGAACAAACAAAGTAACAGTTGAGGCTGATTCTACATACAGGCTGGTCTGTGCACTTTGTAATGCTCTGACACAGTGTTGTGCTGAGCGACGAGCATGATCAACATGTTCAAATCGAGCAATCCGGTCATATATCTGATTGGAGAGGATTAGATGGACTATCAAGTTGATTTTTAATTTGATTTTTCAGTAAAGATGGAAATGGAGAATTTCATAAAGGCATACTTTCAAAGGGAATGCTGCAACATCTCCAATTGCGAAAATACCAGGTACTTTTGTTCGGAACTGACCATCAACCTGAGAAAAGGGATTCATTGTCAGCCCTGTATTTTTTTTGGATAAGGTTAATTCTATTTGTATTAAGAGAAATGAGTGGGAGTCTGTTACCGAAATTTACACACAGTAAGTTCAACTGTACTAATAGTTATATACAAAAGAGGATTAAAATAACTTGATCATATTCAAGCATGAAGTCTGAGAACCAAAAATACTTAAAATAGAAATCAAAGTATAAATGTATAATATCGGGAGACTATCTAAGAGGAACAACAGATTGCATGTAAATCAGTTCTACTGACCTGTATTCCACCAACATTGCTATTCAAGCCCACTGCTTCAAAGGGGCTGACAGTGGGCTTTGCTCCAATACCAACAATAACCTGCATTTGAAGAACCATTGCTCAATGCCATTTTCACCATTTCTCCATTTTCCAGGTTGCAGGTAAAAGTGATCTTATTTGAATGTATATCCTGTTTAATATGGATTCTTTTGAATGAAATAGGATGCATCTAATGGTATAGTGATCTTATTCTAAAACCCTGCATACTTTTGGATAAAGTGCATCATACTTAAGCTTTTAGGGGAAAAAACAAAACAGGAACAAATAATACAATATACATATGGCATTTTATTTGAGACCAATATGCCAATGAGCATCAAGTACCACGTCTGCTTCTATGGTAAATCCATCTTCAAGGTTAATAGCAGCCACACGTCCATCAGAACCAGCCTCCAAGTTTTTGATACGGGCACCCTAATCAAAGGATTGAGCAGATTCAGAAAGCATTATAAATGTACCACTTTTAATATTAAAATAAGTACACCAATTATATTCATCAAACTAAAATAAAAATTAGAAAACTACCTTCAAGAACTTGACCTCATTTTGTTGGTAGAGATCTTCATATCTCTGAGCAAGTGAAGGAGTAAATAGTCTTTGCATTAGATGGTTCTCTGGAAAAATAACCTATAAGAAAGTCCATAAATTAGAAGATTAAGTAAATCTGTAACTACCTTATGGGATGTGGGGACATATATCCAACTTTCTAGCAAGAGAAACATTATTTTGTCCAGTTAAAGAAAAGAAAAGAAAGAAAGATAACAAGGGATGTTAGAGCCATGTGGAAAAAGAGTCCTCTCAGATAAACAATTGAGCAAACATGATTCACCCAACTCCATTAAGGTTATCCTAGAAAGGCTATCTAGAAATTCATACTGTGGGAAGA